AGGGCGCCGCCGGCACCGCCGCCGCTTTTTCATTGGTCGCCGCCGCCGTCACTCCTCGCCGCTTCCGCCGGTGGGGAACGGCGCAGCCGCCGCCCGCCTCCCGTTCGTGCCCCCCCCACACCCCCCCTTCCCCGGAGGGGTGCTTGGCAAAGCTGTGCTGTGATTGGGCAGCGGTAATTGGGGAGGGGGTGGGGGGCCGTAATTAGGCAAAGAGCGCTGGAGAAGCGGAGGTACAAACCGATTTGGGGCGGGGGTGAGACGCTGCGGGACTGCAAGGAAAAATCAGCAGGAGAAAAGCCTTTGGGAGAGGAAGGTGAAATCATTCCAGAACGGCAAGAATGAGAGGAGATAAAGCGCCCTGGGTTTGCAAGAATAAAAGAAGAGAAAGCCTTAAGTCTAGACTTGCAAGAATAATACAAAAGAAAGTCATTCTAGAACTGCAAGAATGAAATAAAGTCATGCTAGGATTGAGAGAGAATCGTTAGGATTCGAAGGGGATAAAGTCGTTCTACAACGGCAAAATTAAGAAATTCAGTCTAGGATTGCACAAACAAGAGAAAATCGTTCTAGAACAAATTTATCCTAGATTTGCAAGAATAATATGTAAGGAGAAACTAACTCCGGAATGGCAAGAATAACGCATTTTAAAATCACTCCGGAATTGCAAGAATAAGGTGAAAAAGTAATTCTAGAATTGCAAGAATACCACATAATGAAATAATTCCACAACCACAGGAATAATACATAATATTTCTAGAATTACAAGAATGTAAGATGACAATCACCCTAGAATTAGGAGGCTATAAGACGACAATCATTCTAAAATTACAAGAATAATCTACAATAACTCTACAATTACAAATAATTGCAAGAATTACTCTTGTAGTTCCGTACTTTGTGTCCGAGCCCCTCTCCTCGGTGGGCACGGGCCAGTTGAGAAATTTGGTGACGATTTTGTGCAATATGCTCCCAAGGGTCAAATACTGTCACCCACGCAGGTCCGTGGCACCCACAGGAGGAGGAGAGCTCTGCCCCACGCCACTCCACTTTCTCCTTGTGGAAATTGGCCCCGTTTTCCTTCGAAAAGCTTTACGAACCTGACGGCCGTCCCCGAGCCCAGTTTGGGGCTGGCGGCCGCTGGCAGCCCTGGCACGTCCCGGCCGTACCCAGCAGGGATTTCTGACTGTCTCCGTCTGCCTGCAGCGGCAGCCCCGTGTTTCACGAGCACCCTGCCCCGTTTATGAGGGTCTCCGCTGCGCCTCGTCCCTTACAGCGGTATTTTCGGGAGGCTGCTACCACCTCCTCCTCCTGCGCAGGGTGGTACTGATACACGCGGGTTTGGGGGTGGTTTATTTTTTAGTCTGGGTTCACATCGATACTCATTTCCGTAATTTTAAGTATTTCTTGCCCCAAGAAGGCAGCCTCCACACAGCCGGATTTAACGTCTTCCACAGCCGTGGGTAAAACTCCAGCAACTGAAACACCATCCAGCTGGGATAACGGTGCTTCCCTATCACACAGGCAGCATATGGATAAATACATTAAAGATGGCAAAGCACTGGGATAATGGGAAGCGGCATCGGCACGGCAAAATCAGGCCAATGAAACAATGATCCAATCTACCGCTAGCCTGGCTTGCAGCAGCATTCAGGAGTATCAAATTGAGATCTGCCGTCAAGGCTTTTTCCCCCCAGACGAGACAGCTAAGTACAGGTTTCAATTGCATTTAAAAGCCTCTGACATTAGACAGCATCCTCAAATTCCAGGCGAGAGCCATCGGTTGCTTTAATCTGATTGAGGCTAAGCCCTGCAGTACTGGACTCTGCATCGTCCGAGGCAAACACTGAACTTTTTGGGCACAACAGCAACAGAAGGGACCGGAGCGATGCTTCTATGTTTAAGACTCATTTTTAATGACAGTTTCACAGCTCGACCTTTGCTGACCACAGCTGAGCTATGTGTAACTCAGCAAGTTTCTCCTCATCACCTGGGCACAACTGGTGGGTTTCAAGCGAGGCAGTAAAAAAAAGAACACTCCTTAAAAGAGGGGCTGGGCTCTGCGACAAAGTTGGTTTGATTCAATCGCATCATGTTGCTACAAATAGGAAACACCACATAAATGGCCCTACAGAGTTCCCCACAAGTACAATAAATGAGGTAGAATAGTTTCTCACAAGAACAATTTTTGCCCGGTCCCATTTTCTCTACGAAAAGCCCTAGAAACAGCAGCTGGGTCACACACTGTCCCACGCTTGCAGTATCGGACAACAGAACTTTGCCCGTGTTTTGCCGTCTATAACGGCGTCCACACCTGCTAACCAGCCTTTTCCCCAAACGAGCCCAGCGCGCCAATGAGAAGCGAGCTGAAGGAGATCTAAGAGGCACCACGGTTGTCTTGCTGGTGGGTAAATCAAACCGCTGGAGAAGACAAGATGCTCCTGAAAGGAGCGATTTCTGCTGTAGCTTTACCTAACTCTGAAGAACGGCTTTGGCTCTCGGCTCCTTCGCCACCTCCTGGCTGGCTGACAGCAGGCAGTGCCGGCTGGGCAGAGCGCAGGCACGGAGCGCTGCAGCAGCCGCCCCGGCTGCTCATCCTGCTGCAGCCAGCAAGACTCAAACCCCAACTCGCTCACTCGCTCATCAAGCACCTTGCTGCCTCTGGGATGAAGCTGCAATCGGAGAACTTCACCCTGCTGAGGAAAAAAGCTTTGCAGCACAGAGAGAACTCGTTTGCAGGGATTGCAAGACACTGAGAAAATGATGTCGGCTGGAACGGATTCCCAAGGGAACTTGGGGATATTGTACGCCCCTCCGACCCCTCTGCTTGGCTGCACAAGACTTCCCTTTTCTTCACCTTTTGTTGGAACGTGGGAAAGCAGGGAGTTTAGAAAGCTCCTCTGCACGTTTGACCTCCATGGAGACAGCAAGATCACAGCGTGCTGGGGACATCGCTGCGTTGCTAGAAGGTGCTCCGGCACTAACGCAGTGACGGCTGGGGAAAAACCTCTGCAGAACAGGGCTCCAGCACCCTACTGCCCTCCTCCATGCTGTGTCAGCTGCTGTAATTTCAGAGGGTTAAGGGAAGCCAGGTCAGTTTTGGGGATGACATTTGCTTCAGAGATAATGGCAGATGGGATTTAAAAAATCCCCAGCAGTACACACAGGGCTGACAGCAAAGCATTCCCATACACAAAACCCTTTCCCACAGTTCATGGCCTCCTTTTCATGCCAAGAGACGCTGCACTCCTCTTCGCGTTGGCCTTTAACCCCCCAGCTGATCCCTTCTCCCAGCACAGCAGGGCTTGGATGGGACTTCACAGCCTACCCCTCGCTAGCAGGCTGCTCATGTCCTGGTCCAGGTCCATGCAGGTGCGGTTTCCTCCTCCGCCCAGCACAGCTGGCTGCCCTGGAAGGCTCTCAGCCACTGCACAGACACCCACACATCTGCATCTAAAATTCCTGAGGAGTCCCACAGGAGGCCAAATTTCTGTGTGTACTCCACTTCCCTCCTCTTAATCATGCACTCCACCTAAAAGGTATTTTTTGAAATGAGTAATCTTCAGGCTGCTGCAATCAGGACGAGATCTCTCTCCCTTTACAACAGCATTAGCATATGACTATTTAAAACCTCCCAGGGTTAGCTCTGCAGCGCTTCCCGAAGATCGGTGTTGAGGTAAACAGGCACACTCGCCTTCCTCCTTCACAAGTTCTCTGCAGTTGAAGAGCAACATCTAAAGAATGATTCATCCAGATCTTCCCGTAGTTGCTTAAAAGTTACTGTTTTACAAACACGGTATGAAGAGAACACACTCAAGTTATTCTGACATTCGCAGAAAGTTTTAATGACAATATTTCTAGAATAAAGGTTCCTCTTCCACAGGAAAATGCATCTCTTGGCCTTGTCAGAGCAAAGCCCATCAGTAGGCATGTTTCAATATTTATTTCTGCTGTGAATGTCTCAGATTAGTAAAGGGTTTGAAACTGACGATTTTTAAAATGTGGATGAAGGTTGTGTAGGAAACTTAAAGTGATACCTGCAAGCCAGTACCTTCTTCCAAAGCCTGCTGCCGCCTTTCAGGCTGCTTCTCACGCTGTACATTGCATTTAGCTGTCTCTTGAAGCCCAGTCTAGACCATTTCTGCACTCAGTAACTACAGGTGTCTTGTTTTCCCATTGAAACTACATATAATTGCCACAGCAGTGTACTTATCTATCACCCAAAGAGATGCCCAGTGTGTAATTCACTCTTGGGCAGTCAATACTGCTTCAAAAATAACAGTGTAACACGCTCCCTCCAAGGAGTTCCAGGGCATGGGACACCTAAAGACTTCTCAAGGGATTTCTGTTCCATGCTGTTTCAATACCCCAGCCATGGACCAGCTGACAAGACATGAAATAAGGGTGTGTGGATAGTCTCTCAAGTATTTCAGTACCTTCACCAGGAAAAAGGCTAGGAGCTAATCCCTAGAGTACACTGGCTGAAAAACTCATTAAGAGAAAGCACAATTCGCATGTACATAGAAGGGTTTCAAAATTTAATAAGTTGACACAGTGAACAATTCAAGAATCTTTAAAACATGAGTGTTAAGAAACAAAGTTTAAGTCACATATTTAGAAAAAGACATTTCTTGTATCACAAAGAGATAAAACCAAAACCCATTTGCTCTGGTAAAAAACCAGCAATGCTGGTCCCTGCTTGAAGTGACAATGCTGTTAACAGAACTTGTTAAAAAGAAGCACCTGGAATGACATGACCAGTTTTGAACTGCTCACACCGTAATTTCTTCTCATAGCAGCCTACCAAGTTGCTCTACAGTAAACAACTTGGGAAGAGTCCAGTCCAGTGATACAAGTCAACATAGTCGCCTTCTGCGGGCAGAGTTCAGAGCCTCAAGTGTAAGCAAGCAAAGCAGTTTGATACCTTCCTTCTCCTAGCAAGAAGAAACCACTTACACCACAAAACAAAGAAAACTGTCACAATACTCCGAACTAAGTCACAGTAATAGGAAAAAGAAAGCAAAACGCATTCTAAGGAAGATTCATTCAAACTAAGCATCGCTTTTTATTCCAACCAAAGAGAGATTCTAGTGGTGGAGGAAGAGTCAGGCCACCGGATCAGGCTGACAGTGCCCCCTCACTGCAAGACTGACATTTGCTCTCTGCAGCGAATGCCCTATGACAGCACGTCTGGGTAACAAGCAGAAAACAACTTCAGGCTCCTCTGTCACTGGACAGAACTTCAGGCAGAGCTTTTGCACCCGATAATGGTCACCTGTTACTCTGCAGGTACCGATCCAGGAACTGGGAATAGCAGTCTAGAGAACAGAAGTAGCAGATGATGGGTGCTTCCGTACCTCCCATGTTATCCACGAGGACCACGGTGTGAGCTACGTGATGGAGATTCATGGTCACCGTGATCTGAATGAAGCTGCTCAGACAGGCACTTCCGCACTGGCATGTTTTAGCCACTTCCAGATCTTCACAAAGGTGAGAAGGAAGGAGATGACAACCATAAGGAATTCTGTTGAACAAGAGGAGTAAGTGTGAATTCACTACAAAATTAACCACTGTCACTCACACACAGTGACATGCCATATGCACCAGTTGGAAAAAAATGCCCTTCTGAGATCATAGACAAGGCAAATTTGAAATTTTGCTGCTTGCAGTATTGGACTGGTTAGGAATTAAACGCCACTTTCCAAGACAGTCACTAAAAACATGCAACCATGTTACTGACCCCTAAGTACCAAGGACCTGAACTCCAGAAGACATTGCAACAAGAACCAGGGAGTTCACACAAATCGTAACAGCCTGTATTACAGCGATAGAGAATTAGAGAATTAAAAAGAAGATTAAGAATAATGAGACAACTGGGCACATATCTGCTTTTCCCTCACATTAGCTGGGAGGATCACTGTATTTCATCCCAGCCTGACAAAGCACCCACCATTTACTCCTCACTCTCTAACACAAAGAAGTGGTAGCAGCGTAAAAACACCATATCCAGAGGAAACAGGAGATAAAATAAGCCTTTTTACAGTCATACTACATTGCAGGCAATAAATTAAGGTTCTCTTGAAATACCGCTCTTTTCGTCCATCGTGTCAATAATGACATCCAGAGACAGGAACAAGAATTGCTTCTTGTTAAATTCACAGCAGAGAGGCACTGTGTTTGGGGGACTAAATAAATAATTTCCCTGAAGTACTTTGTCCTGTTAACTTCAAAGCATGAGTATTCCCCAGTGCTCAGCTGTCACTTGAGACTCACAGAATAGGTCTCACTGACTCACATCCTGACTACACCTACATATTCCCAATTCCTTCTACATACCATCGTTCACATAGCTGAGACTCCTGTGGGTTTTTTTTCACCACCTCAATTTCAGGACATCCTTTTTTCCGGTCAGGAAAAGCATAATCACAGCTCTGGTACTTGCCCAGAATGCCACTATGAAGATTGATTTCCAGACATTTGCTTTTGCATCTTCCCTCCTTCTGTTTTCTTCCTTTCTCAAGGTTTTTACAGCCCATCATCACTCCTGTTTCTCATTCTTTGTTAATTCTCACCTCCAGCAAATATCAGACAGAATGTCTGTTGCCCACTTGTTAGACTTTTTTCTTTTCTATTTAAGATAATCAGGACCACTCTAACCAATGCTGTCTCCTAATAATCACAGACCCATGGGCAAGGGGACTGTTTCCATTGCCCCTTGCCCCACTGAGACTCCTGGAGCAGAAAGCCTTTTCTGTTCTGTGTGATGCCATTTCCTTAAAGCCTGCTGCATGAGGGCCAGGGGCTGGGTTAATGACTAGGTATCCTCTGGTACTCCGGTAACATAACAGCAGCAATATCTGACCAGTGTTGAGGGATTATATTGTCTAGAAAAAAACATGCCTTAATAATATTCATATCAAAACCACTGCAATATATAAAGTTGGGAAAGGAGATGTGGGGAGTTTAATTACTGTAATAAAATCAGCAAGGTCAGAAGCGGGTAAGATTTGAGCCAGAACATTTGGTCGCTCAGCTCATTTTCAGGGTGTGCCCTGCATGCCTGTGGACACCTTGAGCACAGGCTTCTGAGCAATTAACCCAGGTTTATGGGGCGCTCCCCACCCTCAAGGCAGGAACGGGCACAGAACGTAGATTAGGAACACCTCAAGTCTGTCTCTCACCCCCTTTCTGTACCAGTGACTCTTTTCCACTTTCTTGCTCCTTTTCCACCCGGAACAGGGTGGGAGTAGCAGCAGCTGGTACCAAAAGGATCACAGGCAGCGGCACACAGGCAGAGCTATGTACGCGGCGTGGGGGGAGAAAACTGATAAGAAACAGCAGCCTGGCAAGGATGATGATGTTTACTTGGTGAAATAATAATTTTAAAGTTACCTCAGAACTGTGCTTCTCCGCATAAGACAGAACACCCTCACTCCAACACCAAAGGAAATTAACAGCTCAAGGAAAACCTAAGGCAGGGAGAAGCCTGCAGTAGGTAATGCCAACTTCCGCGTGACATTTGCCCTCCGAGATGCCTGCCACCTTGCGTTATCTTTCTAACACTGCTCAGCTTGGGTAAGGTCCCATCTAAAGCAG